TGTTGCAAGCATGCCTTGAACCCTCCTGCTTTCCTGCGGTACCTCTATTTTACGACTTTCACCGTCGGTGATCGCAGATCTGAGATAGCTGGAATAGCTTACGTTTTACTACATCCTAAAAAGTTTTTGTCTTTAAGACATACCATGAAGAAAGTTTTCATGCTTCTTAACCTCAGTTTTAGTTATTATTTACTGCTTGCCTTATTTGTGGCCGCTACTATCTTTTAAAGGTGTTCTGTTTCTGTCAACTCTGCTGTATCAGTATATTTAGAGTATCAGTGTATAGTTCAGAATTTGTAGCCATCGTCTAGATTGATTAGGCATCGCTTCGCTATCAGAATTCGTAAATGCATCCATAGTCACTGCGTAAATTCTGTGGTTGAACATGATTGGTCCGGTGTCCGAAACTTGGCGTACTTTACTATCAGTCGCTAAACTCTGAGACCACTTCACATGTTTGTACGGTCGCTGTTTTACTGATGTAATTATTCTTGTATAGGATGGCATGTTGACTTGACTTGTTTCGAACTGTTGTATTCTCTTAGGTGCTCGTTGCGATGTCTTCCCTTTCCCGCTGATACAGAATTTTGCTGCCTAGTGTCTCGAAGTTGATAAACCCAACGAACATTTCGGTTTCAGCCGTAGTTTTCCAGAGAAGACACAGTTTTAAGATCTGGTTAAGGGTGGATAGAGCCAGTCCAATCCAGTTTAATTCCTGTTTAATTCCTAACGGAACACGTGGGTCTTTTTTTGTTTCTCTTTCATCATATTTCGTGGTTGATGTCCGTAAGCATATGCAGCCGAAGCGTGGTTCTACTGGAACTATGTTTGGGCCAAGTTCTCTTTCAGGCTTGACCATTTCTGAGAGCTTTCGCAGTCTCTTCGTTGACTGACGGTTCAGCACTGCTCTTTCACAAGCGTCTGACATTTCTGAATCGCCATTACTTCCCAGAAACTTCGAGTAGGTCGATCTGATTAACATGGTGATGTCACTACGTCTTGCATTCAAGTCTAGACAGGGTGTGCCACCTCGTAACTTGTGCGTCGGTGCTTCGTTGTTTGTAAGCGTCTTCATTCAATATATCGGATGCAGCCTCAACGAAAGGAGGACTAGAAAGAAATTGCTAGCATCTAGAAGCTGATTGGCAGACTGGTACACACGATCAGGAACCATGTACGCCTGAATTCAGAGTAGCCGTTGCCATACTCCTGAAGAGTATAAATTGATCATTCAGCGTGCGAATAGATAATGTTCTCGCGACTTGTTTGTGCAACGGTGATGAACAGACTAAAGTGCGTGCAGTGGCGTCAGAGAAGTGTCACATTGTTCGAAAGCGAAACACGGTGATAACTGCTATCTTATCATTCGATTAAGATTTCAAATCACGTGAACTGCTTTCTTTGTTGCAGAATTTCGTGTTTTGCGTCAGATAGTTATGTTTGTATATCGCGTGAGATATTAAGATTGTTTAATTTTGTTACTTTATAAATGACCTATAGTAAAAGAAATCATTACATGCATACTGTAATGCTAAGGATTATGAATTTAGGAACTGGTCTCCTAGAAGGCGAGAACCACCTGCGTATCGGTCCAGAAAATCTCGTTCGAGGTCAAGGGAGCCAAAGTATGCTTCTTTTGTTCGTTACGCTTTGCTGAGACGACTTCCGCTGTGCTTACCGCTAACAACCACTTTTTGTTGTTGCGCGTTTTGCTTCCCTCTTCCCTTGCCTTGCCT